GAAATGCAGCCCTCCCCATCTGGAATTGCTCAGCAGTTTGCAATAGTCCTCCCCCCAACACGCCTCTTCTCCACCCACTGAAGTACAGAGATAAATGTTCCTCTGGTCTGGAGGATCCTCTTCGTTGGCCGGAATTCTTTGGAGGGAAGACAGCAGGAATAATCCAAGTCCACCACCATGGGTAAGTCAAAACGAGAACAGAGGCGAGCTTCTTTTGCTCAGCCGCAGAAACAGCCATGATTTCTCCAGGGTTTCCTGCGTAGCTCAGACTTTCCCAGTGCAGAAGTTCAGGAACCGATGATGATCATTATTACTGTAACGCTTGTGCAATTTTTTGATGCAAATAGCTTGGCAGGAGGTCAGGTATCAACTTTAATGCAGGTGTGCTTTAAAAGGTGTAACCTAACCCTCAGGGAGTTTAGCTTGTGAAGTGCAAAAGTACCAATGAGATTTCAAAACTTCTCTTTTTAGCAGCATTTTTCTTTCTGTCCCTAAAAATCCCAATTGGTTAAAAAACCCATTCTTATTGCCATAGGATGCCAATAACTCACACGCGTTTATTTCTAAAGATGAATACTTAGGATTCTGCTCTTTGCAATGGAGAAAAAAAATATACCTCGGCTTTTATATTATGTTTTTGCACTGTTTGATCCTCTGTATCTATGCTTGGAAGGAAGCCCCTATTTTCTTTGATAAGCGTTTTGGCTTAGCGTTTGCCGTTCCGATTACATATGAAACAGGTTTATCTGCGTTTTGGCATGTCTTTTTTTTTTTAAATTTTGAAACTTAAGTCCTTTACTTCTGGTGTCTTGTGTCCTCTAGAATCTCCCAACCACTGTTGTACCCTCCCTCAAAAAAAAATCCCCCGGAGGACAGCTCCTTCAGCAATGGCAAAAGGATCCTGTCATTGGCAGGAAAATGTATACAACGTCTCTCCAAATACTTTGCATTTTAACTCTCTTAGTTGGGGGGGTCAAAGCAGGGTATGAGAAAGTGAGAATCTGGTCTAAAAAAATACTATTATTGTACGCAATTCTGTCTTTCTCTCTTAAGACAGATTGCTTTTTGTATTAGGAAATGAAGAAAAAAGCAGAAAGGCACTTTCAGAAATTGGGGAGAATATTAGGAGCTCTTCCCAATCCCACCTCCACCCCCTAAAACTGTGTAGAAACAAGGAAACTGCACCATAAAAGGTCTTATGTGGAAACACCCAGCGAGATTGGCTTTTGAATAAATATAAGATTATGCTGTTTATATAAGCCTTTAGGTAAAGAGAAATGAGCATTCAGGCGGAAAGTCGTAGAGAGTATAAAGGTGAAAAAAAGGACTTATTTGAATTACCCATCTATAGAGGGAGTGAGCCAATGCTGTGCCATCTCTACTCAACCTTGCAATTAACTAACTAATTAATTTTAGGTCCAGGGCTCACTATCAGCCTCCTTGGGTTATTATGAGAAAAAAAAAAAAGGAATGGTCCAAGAATTGAAAACCATTCCTTGGTGTCATTCGTACCTGTCCTTCCAGATGTTGCTGAGCCGTTCAAATTAAATGTGCAGTTTTAACATCTGGCAATCACCTGGACAAGTTTCTGTAGTTCTCCTGGAAATGTTTTCCAAAGTGCCATTTTTTTCCCCTTCCTAAGGTGAAAGGAGCAACGGGCCCGAAAATCACCCAGCTGGCTTCATGCCTGAGTTAAGTTCTAGAACTCACCGTCCCCTGGTTTCCAGCCCGTTTCTTTCAACCCCTTCACCCACCTGGCTCTTACTGTTGGTTTTCCTGTCTGCTTCTGAATTTCTGAACCTTGCCTTTTCTTTTAATTTTGTCGGCTGGCTTGAGAACTTGCTTAGTAGAAAGTGGGTGTATAAGCTGAACAAATAGAATCCGATAACCGAGTTAACCTTGGCATGGACGTGCGCAGCAAGAAAGCTTTGTTGGTGGATTTAAACAGGGAGGAGGAGAAATTACCCCGGTGCTCCTGGGATTGCTCAAGATGGGTAAAATTTGGGCTTCTAAAAAAATTAAAACAAATTAGCCTTATTGCAGTGATGGCTAACCTTATTGTCATCCCAGGGCAAAAGTGCGTGTACACACCCATGATGCAATGCGTACACAACCTCCTCTACACAACCCACCCCATAGTATATGCACGCAACTCCCCCCATACGATATGCCCTGCGCATGCATGGGCTTTCCTGTGCTCCCCCTCACGCATGTGTGTGCAATCTCCCATGTTTCCACGAGCACACACACGACCCCCTGCATGCACACGCAACTCCATTCCGTGCACACACACCTCCTGCGCATGTACGGCAGAGACCCGAAAACCAGCTGGCCAGCGGGAGGGCAAATGCACATGTGTGCTGGTGCTAAGTGGGCAACGCCTTGTGTGCCCGCAGAGAGGGCTCAGCGTGCCACTTATGGCATGTGTGCCATAGGTTTGCCATCACGGGCCTATTGCAACAAAACCAGGGACCCTCAAGATGAACCAATTCCATTTATGACTGGGATCCGTTTGACCCAGATATAAAAAGCTATGGCAGTCAGTAGATTAACAAGCTGCATGGATATATAATCATCTACCAGAAAGTGATGCTTCCTTTGATCCTTTCAGCTTCCATCCAACCCACCCAATAAACTCAGTTCTCTACAGCCAAACCCACACGTAAAATTTGCTTGGCTCTCCCAGACGGAGTCGTAGCTGAAGGTTTTTAAGATGGCATTTCGCCCAACTCCGGGATCCACTCAAATCTAGTCAAATACGCCAATTAATATGGCTACTTTCAGCCGCAAGATAGACTCGGGAGACCTGCTCTAACTCAGTTTCCACAGAAAGTGATAAGCAACATCTACCTATCTTGCCTAAGCTTCGATTAGGAAGCCCGTCCAATTTAAAACCCATAATTTACTCGCTGCGCCAGATTGAGTGACAGAAACAAGAGACCCAGAATGCTAAGACTGCAGCCAACGGTCTTCTGGCTACTTTAAAATTACGGCGGCTGGGTTTATACAGCGCATTAAGCGATGGCTTAATCCGTAGTTTGTGCAACGAACCTTAATGGACTGGGTCCGCAGATGCTAAGCCGAAGCCCAATAAAACACCGGCACCCTTAGCACAATGAACTGTAGTGCAACTGATGAAGTTTGTCATGAGGACATATCTCCGTTTATGACGGTCTCGCTCCATCCTCAACGACCATAAAGCCATTTGATGGTCATAATTTCTTCCTTTGTCTGTGGTTTAATACGTTACCTATTAAATCAAACAGGCCAATATGGGAAATCACGGCTGTATTGCTCTGTTGCAAGAGAATCAACAGCGAACACAAAAAGGAAGTGTGTTAAAGACCCAACAATTACTTGATGGGTTTTGCAAGAGGTAGGGGCCCACCCCTGGCCTCCAGATGTGCAGAGATAATGCAGACAATGCAATATAAACAAGCCAGTGAGGTAAATAGTTGTGGTACAATCTGGGACTAAATGTCCCAGCCTCTAGATGGGACATCGGGCAGTTTCTACGTTGGGTCATAAAGTGACCAGCTTCCCTGGGTCCCTGTGCGTAGTAGAGACTTGTTTTTGGGATTGAGAGAGTTAAGTTCCCAAACACCCAGAAAGCATCACATGAGAAACGGAACATCTGCAATGATTTTGCAATTGCCCACCAAATGGTCTTCGGGCCAGTCCCACCACATCACTTGCGTGACGGCAGGGCAACTGGGCAGTTGCCCAAGGAGGCTTGTGAAATGTTCTTCTTCCCACTAGTCACGCGCGGGAATAAAATTTATGACAAGGGAGCGGCGCACAGCTTCCCTCCGAAGACTGGAAGCATCTGCTGCACAATCCTTGGCTAAGCCAAGAGCTCTAGTGTTCAGAAGGTCCCGGTGGAATTGCTCCTTCGTGCCGTTTCCCTTCCCTCCCTCCACGCGCAGCCAGCATGAAACATGGGACAGGCGCACGGCTGCGGATCCCGAGCCAAGCTGACCCACATTTCCCCAGCCGCACGGAAGAGCTGATGTCCTGAAATCTTTCCCACGCGGGTTGCTGCAAAGTCATAGGAGCCAGGGCTGGTTAGGAGCCCCAAAAGTTTCCCTTGCTTCGCAGGTAGACTGTTCGTGAACCTGGAGGCTTGGCTGGGAGGATTGACTTCAGGATACCTACCAGGACTGCAGGAATGAAGTGCATTTGCAGCGTCAGCCAAATGACACCTGTAGCCAAGCGCAATTCACACTTACACTGTTACACAAAAGCTCCGGTCACTGCATGTCTCAAGATGGCTTATAAATTTGTCTGAATCCTTGAAAATGATTCACAGGTCAATAAAACCAACCATTTCCTTGGGGTGGAGCGGGAAATCACGATAACACTTAAATCATTGCATTTTAACCTACCAATCGCTGGGTTGCCACTGGGGCTTGTCCGGGGAAAACAGAGGTGCTGATTTCTAACTTGATTCCTAAGGAATCTTTCGATCCCCTTCCATGCAAAAAAAAGGTCAAACTGAGCCAGAAAGATCTGAAGAAGACAAAACTTCATTCTGCACCAAAGCAATGAAACTTAGGACAAGCTTTCAAACCAGGGCAATGCTATCCAACTTATTTTACTTAAATCGCTTCTTTTAACACTCGCCACACCCCTGATGTCTCAGTGGGGAAGGCTATCCTTCAAGTCATGAGCACTAGCAACTTGAAATCTTAAAAGGACTCGCAGGAAGCTGAATTCAGCTCTAGAATTCCCCTACCTGAAGCTACGGAGAAATTTTTATCAGGAAAAGCCAGAAATTGGCACAGTATTTCAAAAGCCTCTCCCGAGCTGATGTCCTCTTGTGTGTTTTTAACTTTCTTTTTGTCCATTTCACATTGCAGCAAAATGTGGAGAGTGTGGGCCGGGATATAAAACCCCCTTGGATGCAATGAAAGGTGAGGAAACACCGTGTGTGTNAAAGCCTTCTCTGCCTCTTGGGTCCCAAGTTAAGTCGTGCGTGTTTTCTTGTCCTTCGCAGGGCAAGAGAGTTCAAGGTGCCCCACAAATGATCCAGCTGAGCCTGGACGGAAAACGGCTGTACGTCAGCACCTCTCTCTACAGCGGATGGGATAAGCAGTTCTACCCAGACATGGTCAAGTAAGACGGCCTTTCCTTCGCTTTTTTTCCTTTGTTTATTAAAAAACAGAAACAAACTTGGAAGATCCTCAGGCAGAAATAAATCTGGAAGTTGCGTGGTGGAGTTTTTGATGGTTGCTAGAGTCGTTAGGCCTCAGTTCACTGTTCGCATGGATTTTGAAATGACATTTTAAATAAACATAAAAGGCATTTCTTCTTTCAGGCTAGGGAGTTACGTTTGTGTGTCCGCAGCGTCGACTTCCAGAGTAGGGAGAATCCATCCATCTTCGAGTTTTGTGACTGTAGTTGTCCTCAGAAATGCATGGTCAAATTCTCTTTTGTCTTCTTTTTTTTCCCCCCTCCCCAGGGAAGGCTCCGTCATGTTGCAAATCGATGTGGATAGCAAGAAAGGAGGCTTAAAAGTGAACGAAAAGTTCTTAGTGGATTTCGGGAAAGAGCCAAATGGTCCAGCGCTGGCCCACGAGATCCGCTATCCGGGCGGCGACACCACTTCCGATATCTGGATCTAACGATCTCCCCGGCTTCGAGCTGTCACGCTAATAAGTTTTTTTCCTTGAGATGCTACTTCTTCCTCGCCTGCTTCTGTGTGCGGTTCCCTCTAGATGGGATATTCCTTGTTCTGCCACAAGAGGTCGCTCACACCCCCTGCATCCTCTTTGCTGTGACCATGTCTCAACCCCAGGACTTTTGATACAGGATTTTAAGCATCTCCCGTGTTCCCAGTTTTGCCCCGCTTTCACTGTTGTGTAACCAGGGAATTGCACGTTTTTACCCAGAAGAAAATATTTTAGACAATAATTGTTCCCACAATTTTCTCAGGGAAGGCACGAGAGCACAAAGCCCATGTTTTTCTATCCTGAGACTCCTGTAGCCGGGGCGCCCCTCGAAATGCTATGGGATTAAATTAACAAAGCAACTGATCTGATCGCTTGTGTGCAGACAGTCCTCGACTTACAACCATGACCAGCATTTTCATGGCTAAGCAAGGAAATTGTGAAGTGAGCCCTTTTTTCATCATGGCAGCTGAGCGAAATCACTGCAGTTATTCAAGTCAATCACGAGCTGAGTCCGGCGTCCCGCACTGCTTGTTGGAAGGTCGCAAATATCGATCGCATGACCCAGGAAGCTGCGACCGATCGGAGTAATACAAACTCATTTCGTGGTTTTTTTGGGCAAATGTCAAATCTTTTTAATTATGGAACCCAGGGTTGTTTGTGACTTAATGAGCAATGGAGCCATTCTTGGAACATCTTAGCATTCCCTCTAGCATAATGCTTCAGAAATAGAATAATATGTTTCTTTATCTTTGCTACTCACGGTTCTTTTTTTAAAAAAAAAATAAATAATTTTTCAAAGGGTTTCTCGCCTACGCAGATTTCTTCTCTCCAATCTGACTGTGGGCTAATCACCAAGAGCCACCTGCCGTCACGAGACCTCTGCGGTCGCCCCTCCGGTCATAACATTAAGGGCAGGTGGCAAAGGCGTGTTTCTCACGAAGTGCGTGAAGCTGAAACGTCTGGAGCCCAGGGCTCTGGGGCTCCTGGCAGTATTCACACTTTCATTTTCAGCTCTGAAATATCTAGCCCTTTAATCTACGGAGAGGAAAACAGAGAGCCAAATAAGCAGTAATTGCCCTCCGAACCCTTCGTAGAAAGCCGGTTCAGTAGCTTAACAAGCCCTAATTTGATAAACCGTTGGAACGCCGGATTGTGCGAGTGCGCCTTTTATGTTAAAAAGTATCGCACCCAACAACTGTCGCCCAGTTGGGCTGCCTTCACAGAACCCGAATCAAACTTTGAATGGTCCAAGTCCATAGGATGTGAAGGTTGAGGAAAGGGCTTTGGAGATCACCTAGACTGACCCCCTTGTCCGGTTTGAGAATGCAAAGGGATCAGACAGACATGCCGTTTGCCCTCATTCGGGACAATGGTGAAATCCAGCAGGTTCTGGAGAACCGGTAGCGGAAATTTTGANACCCCAGGATCCTCAAGATTTAATTCCACATTATCAGGAAGAAATTGCTGTCCAGTATAGCAAAGTATCTCCAGATACTTTGTGGTTCCTTCAAAGCTGAAGGCAAACGGTTCTCTTCCCTGCCGTCTGTTGGGAAATCTGAGCCTGCAGTTGTCTTTATTTGCTGCCTAAAATTCCAGTTGGGGAGCGTCTCCTTTCAGATCAAATGCCAATCGCTTCCTTTCTTTTTTCCTGGAGCAATCTGGGGGTTGCAGTCCCTCGGGATTTACCCAGGACAACTGGCCCAACAGTTGTCGAACTCAAGCAGCTGCTCAAATCTTAAACCTCGGACTTTTCCTGCAAAGGACACGTTCTGTGGTTATTTCAGCGATACTGCCGATATCTGAAATCCTGCGTTCTTGATTGACACGCCGTGCAAGCCCATTTCATAACCTCCGTTTTTATCTTTACCATGGGGTGGGTGGGGAGGGAGATAACCCAAAGTTCTGCATTCCAAAAAACGTTGGCTAATAATTATGGGCCCAAAGACCAACAACCCTCTCTCAAAGAATTTAGAAATCGGAAACCACCAAGGATTCCTGCACGCTTTGTGGTCTGAGTAATGCAAGGTTGCAAAAGAAAAATGTCCACAAGACATTCACCCATCCACACCCACCCTCCAATTCCCAGAAATAGGTTCTTCCAATAAATCATGTTAAATTGCTTGTTTGGGGTGTGTGTGTGTGTGTGTGTGTCTACACACGTGAGAGCTGATTCACTTCAAGTCTTGTTTTGCAGTCTAAGACCGGGATCTCCAATCTTGGCAATTTTAAGACTTGTGGACTTCAACTCCCAGAATTCTTCAGCCAGCACTTCAAGTCCACAGTTGCCAAGGACGGAGACCACTAGGGGTTTAATAAAATAATCGGGGAGGGGGGGGAGAAGAATAAAGGGGCAGAGCATTGCAAGACATTAAGTTGAGACAAGAAATGACACAAGTCAGCTTTAGAACTGAACTCTCTTTGGGCTACATAAGGCTGCACTTGGAATAGGGCATGTATAGTAAATGTATAGTAAAAAGGCTCTAGAAAGAGTGCAGGGGGAGGAACATGAGCTCTTTGAGAACCTGTCCAAAGGGCCCAAGCAGGGGTGAAATCCACTTACTGGTTCAGTAGCAATGTGAGCGTGCACACACTCGCTTCACTCACATGTGCCACCTCTGCGCATGCAAACTGTAAGTGCAGGTAATGCAAAAGTAAGCGAACAGCGAGGGGGAAAAAATCCACAATGCCACACGATTTAGATTATAAGTCGTGCATCACAGCTGATCGTCGGGGAAACTGGTTCGCCCGAACCGGTAGCATTTCTTTTACTACCGATTCGGGCAAACCATTCCGAACCGGTAGAATTTCACCGCTGGTCCTAAGTGGGCTCTGCCACCCCACAGGTCATCCACCGCCTGCCGATGCCCAACGTTAACGATGAGCTGCACCATTCCGGCTGGAACGCCTGCAGCAGCTGCTTCGGAGACACCACCAAGAAGCGCAACCGTCTCATTCTTCCCAGCTTGATCTCGTCCCGGATTTATGTGATCGACACCGGCACCAACCTGAGAGCCCCCAGGATCCACAAGGTACACACGTCCGGCCTGGCTGGTGCTGAGCGGGCCCCTCAGAAGGGGACTTCACAGAACCACCTTCCTTCTCTTCCCCTTGCAAGCTTCTTTCGCCCCGGGGACTGACACGCCCCATTTTTCATCCCATGCAAAGCTTGGATGGTGAAGGGCTGGGTGTATCTATCCGTGGTGCATCTGCCCATCCTCACTTCTTCGCAATGGTCTTGCATGATTGCAGGTGGTCGAGCCCATTGACCTCTACTGGAAGTGCAACTTGGCAAATCCTCACACCTCACATTGCCTGGGCAATGGCGAAATCATGATTAGCACCATGGGTGACCCTTCTGGCAATGGAAAAGGTATGTCTTTTTAATGTTCCTTTTTAAATTCTGCCTTCGTTATTTTTTATAAATAACTCAAGGGGGGCTGACATATCTAATACTCTTTGTGTGCCCAATCACAACTGGATAATAAAATATTCTGGATTAATAGAGTTGGAAGGGATCCTGTAGCTTTGCTAGCTGAGGAACTCTGGGAATTGAAGTCCACAAGTCTTAAAGTTGCCAAGGTTGGAGACCCCTTTGTGGTGAGATGGTCGGCGATTAAGCTTAACAAATAAACAATGTTTTGTTTTCCCCTGCAGGGGGTTTTGTCCTGCTGGACGGTGAGACCTTTGAGGTGAAGGGCAACTGGGAAAAAGGCAGCAAAGTCCCACCGTTTGGCTACGATTTCTGGTACCAGCCCAGGCACAACGTCTTGATGAGCACTGAGTGGGGAACGCCCAAGTGCTTCGCCTACGGGTTCGACCCAGCCGATTTGGAGAAAGGTGAGAGAACGGCTCCTTGCTGTCTTGCATCTGAGAGGCCTCTTCCAGGAGTTCCACAGGCATCGGGTATCTTCAGAGAAACCAAGCAGGCCGATCAAGGAGAACCTGGTTGGAAGCATCTTCCATGGTCCAGAAGATGGAGTTGAGGTCCAGCATAAGGACTGGAGAAGAAAGAGGCGAAGCTAGGCAGGAATTGAGGTCCAAGGGCCAATGAGATTCAAGGCAGCATCTCTTCCCACCAATGAGGAGACACTTAGAGGAGGAGCCTTAATAGGGCGAGGATGAGTCACAAGGCAGCCAGGAGCTACAGAAGGGTGGAGGCCAATTTCTCAATAAGTTGGACTATTATATTATAAATAGCTATCATTAACTATTTGATGGTGAGGTCCAGTTCACATCTGTAGGGGATCCAATGTGTGTGTGTGCACATGTGTTGTGAAATTACACAGGCCAGTTTCAGAACCTGGCTCAAACTCATATTATCTACCAGGAGTGGAGAAACCAAACCCAGAGAGCACCAAGAATCCCGCAAAGAAAACACACTACTAACCAAACCCCACTCCCTCCCTCCCTCCCTC